TTCTATTCTATTCTATTCTATTCTATTCTATTCTATTCTATTCTATTTACGCATTTTATCTACTATAAAAATGGGATTCCTGCTTTCATGTTTTTGTATTCTGAGTGTTTTTTAGGATGGAATTGCCATATTTACATGGATGAGATTCCATTGCTCCATATCATTTTCTTCCTTTTTTGACAGCATTACCAATTATCTAACTACTATTTTGTGTCTCACAGCACAATCTAAGGCTGAATACAACCAAATTAAATTTATCACATTTCCTGTAAAATCTTTTTCTAGTATTCACATTACAAGTATTTTTTATGATTTCCTCACAATAACATTTTATGAGTTGAATCTTATTGGTTTTATTATAATTACTTTTGAAGAAAAGGGTTATTATTATTTTTACTTCAGTATTGAAAAACCCCTTTTGAAATTGTGGAAAACTGAAACTAAGCTAAAACTAAAAGTGGAAAAGCGTAAAGACGCAAAAGAAACGGAGACACCTTTGCAAATAAAATCCTGATTTGTCTACTTCCTTATAATTTTATTACCCCTATTTTTCTCCTAAAATAGGGTCTACCGAAATTCCTCCCTTTCCTGACAAAGCACTTCACTTCCTTTCATATGGAATCATATAGAGAGCAACTCTATCCTTTATTTATCTTCTTTTCCAGAAATAAAGTGCTCCTTTTCCATGTGGGTCAAAATGGAGAAAAATGTGGAAAGATAAAACGTGCAGAATAGAATAATTTATTCCTTTATCCATACAGGAAGAGGATGAATTTCTCTTTTTGCCCAAAGAGTAGCTTTAACTTAATTATGGCTGCCAAATGTCAACATGAAAATAGTGACGTTTACAACATACCATTCACCTGGTTGGTGCTGCTAATATTTAGTTTCTTGTACGGATTTTATTAAAACAATTCTTCTAAAATATTAAGAGTTTTAAGATAGTTGTTTCAGATGTAGGATAAAAACTTTTCATGTTTCTCTAGAAAATACTTCAATGTGAATAATAGGTTTCCTGGATATGTTTATTATATTGTAATGCATACTGTTAAAAGAGCATCCATATTCTAAAAAATTGGTTCATTTTTTTCTTAAATGCCACCATCATACTGGAAGGATTACAGGGCACCTTTTTCTGTGTCTTTAATTTTCCACCAAACTATTTTATTTGTCATATTAAACTTGTGCCACCTAGTGTTCATAGGAATTCACAGCTATTTTTCTCACATTTGTATGTGCAACTTAAGAGGTCTTTTTTTAAAAAAAAAAATCAATTTTTTATCATTTTAAACAGGATAGATGGAAAAAACTTAATCAAAAAAAGTATTCATTCTATAAATTTCTCTGTTATACATGTGTAAAAAGGAGAAGGCAGATGATTTGATTTCCAGGTCATCAAGGATAAGTATTTTTAAAATAACGTATACAATTTTATTTACCACAGTCTTCAAGAATTTCGTAACAGTGCTAATTGTCCTCCTTTCTAATATTTTGTTGGAAGAAGAGTAGCATTTTAAAAAAAAGAATGCTGGAATTCAACACAATGAGTTAAAAAAAAACCAAGTATGCAGCACAAAAAGAAACAGCAATTCAAATCCTGTTTAGATATGAAGGTCACTGGACATTTTTAAATACATTACTGTTTCTGGAAACAAGCTACTTAATTGTTCCTGTGTAATTAGAACATGAGTGTCTGAGCAAAACCAAACTTAGTGATTTAATAATTATCTGGAAGCTGTCTCTGAATAATTTTACAATTTATGTGCTCTGCAAATATGATATGCTTTAGAACTTGAATCTAGCAATTCTATATGTGATTAACTGAAATTTTCTCATGCAGTTTTGGCATTTTATAACATTCCTTTAAAAGAACTTAAGCCTTGCTGCCATTTAAGCTCTAACAAAAAAAGACTAAAGACTTTGGCTAAGAATATTATCCTGAATAGGCTAAACTGAAAGCAGAAAATTGCCTTAGCAATATAGAATGAATTAGTGGACTATAGTTCAAAAGCAGCCAAAATCTGACTGTATTTAAACTGACTTAAGCCCATCAAAATCTGAGAGGTTTTTGTTTTATTTGTTTTTGTCAGTCTCCAATCTTATTTGCGCTCCACCAACTTTGGCTGATCTCAGAAGTTGAAGAGGGCTGGTCTTCCTTTTATTTAGATACGGGACCACCTTGGAAAATCTGAGTTGCTAGCTAGAATGAGAAGTAAAAAAACCACAGTGGGAAAATGGCAACTTTTTAATAATATCAAGACAATTGCAATGATGTAGTCACCACGAGTCAACTAAAGAGCACCTTTACTTCTTATGTCTGTAGGTGCAAGCAAATAGCTACAAGAAATGCCCCTGATCACCTGGGATATAATTAGCTAGCAAATATAGGATTTTGTTCCTATCTATAAATATCCTTTGTGAAGATGTAATGGTATTACGCCCAATCAATTATACCCCAGAAACAGGAATTAGGAGAGAAAGAATGGCCAAATTTATTGACTAGTCAAAAGTAGTAAATGTTTCAGTAAATAACTCTGAGCTTTAAATAGCAGAACTATTGCCATTGCAGTAACTGTGGTACAGGTAATATTTGATTTACAACAGTTCATTTAGTGAACATTCAAATTTACAACGGCACTGAAAAAAGTGACTTACCACTGGATTTGAAACTTATATCCGTTGGAGCATCCCATGCTAACGTAATCAGAATTTGGGTGCTTGGCAACTGACTCATATTTATGACGGTTGCAGTGTCCCAGGGTCATGTGATCACCTTTTGCAACTTTCTGACAAGCAAAGTCAATGGGGAAGCCAGACTTCACTTAACAACTGTGTCACTAACTTAACTGTAGTGATGCATTTAACAACCATGGCAAGAAAGGTTGTAAAATGGGGCAAAATTCACTTAACAGCTGTCTCACTTAGCAACAGAAATTTTGGGCACAATGGTGGTTGTAAGTCGAAGACTACCTGTATCTGCCTAATAAATATGCCTTTAAAATTCCAGGACCTTTTGGAAATGTGGCAGCTCTAAAGGTTTTCTTCAGCACTATTAAGGTGGAGAGTGGTAATTTTGAGACAGTCTTGAGAGTCCTAATTGGCAATCTTTAAATATGAGCCAGCCATGTGATGCAGCTGCCAAAAAAAGCAAACACAGTCCTAGGCTGCATTAACAGAGAGATAGAATCAAGATCATCTGAAGTGTTAATACCACTTTATAAGGCCTTGGAAAGATCACACTTGGAATATTGCATCTGGTTTTGGTCTCCACAATCTAAAAAAGATGTTGAGCCTCTAGAAAGAATGCTGAGAACAACGAAGATGATTAGGGGACTGGAGGCTAAAACATATGAAGAACGGTTGCAGGAACTGGGTATGAAAAGAAGGATTAGGGGTAACATGATAGCAGTGTTCCAATATCTAAGGGGCTTCCACAAAGAAGAGGGGGTCAACCTACTCTGAAAAGCACTTGAAGGCAGGACAAGAAGCAATGGATGGAAACCAATCAAGGAAGGAATCAAACCAGAACTAAGGGGAAATTTTCTGATAATTTGAACAGTGAATCGATAGAACAATTTGCCTCCAGAAGTTGTGGACTTTTAAGAAGAGATTGGACAACCATTTGTATAGGGTTTCTGCTTAAGCAGGGAGTTCAAGTTCCCTTCCAATTTTGTTATTCTATTATTTTGTTATTCTGGTACAAAGAAACATTTCTTCCTAACCCTTTATTACAGCTACTATTTTATCTCTAATTGACTAATCATTCACTAATTGATTCCCAATAATAGTATTAATAAATAATTCCAAAGATGGTACAATTCATATTTGTCACAGGTTTTCTCTCAAGTTGCAATTTCTGGATCTAATTTTTCTCACGGCCTTAGGAAACAGGAAATAACGGTGTTTGGTGAATGCAGACATAGCCCTTTGGTACTTAAAAGACAGAAATTAACTGGGAAATCAAGCTAAAAGCTAACTCAGTAGTTATTATCTGCATGTGTGGGCCTGAGACTCAAGTTCTTTATGTTTATTGCAAAGTCAGTCTAGGAGCTACAAAACATGGTCATTAGGCTTACCCAACACAATTGTACACAGAAGAACTATGGGTTTAAAAGAAATTTTTTTTAAGGGTCAGTTCAGTTACAGCTGTGATGCTTATGAATAGGCATCTGCATGAATGGCTCTGAAACACCAAGTTAACTCTTCACAGCATCACACACAAAATTGCATCCTTTCTCTGGTTGTTGGCAAGATATCCAATGCAAAGTGAGTAAATCAGAGTTTTAGGTGTCCACTGTTAATCACTTGAAAGATGTAGTGTGACCAACTCCTCACAGGAAAATTAATATTTATAGATTAGTTGTTCTATGTGCAATATATGTGACATTTATGATTCGTTTTTTTGCAGTTTGTGGTAACTAGATAATTTTCATTATCAGTTTCACTCTTTCCAAAAGGATGGAAACATAAGAGCAGCACACAGTATAAACCAGAAGTTACTAGACCATCACATTTTAATTACATTTAGAACCCTAACTTAAAAGTGTTGTGTATTATATTTCTTCCATAATAAAACCTAGCAATGTTTCACTACCAAGAATAGATTTGAAAAGTTGTTGCTTTGAAATACTGTTTAGTGTCATCTTGCAAAACATTAAGGAATAACATTTGCTATATCACTTAGGCAACTTAATTAAAATATATTCTAAAACATTTACATAATATCTATTATTGACTTAGTCATGTTTTCATATTAAATCATTTTAATTTCAATTATAAGCTGGTTTTTTTTTGTTTTTTATATCATTTGTCAAAATGATGACATACAAAAGGAAAGCACATTAAATAGTACCAAACAGTGAAAAGCAAATCCTAAATATGTTTTAGTAATTTAAAAAGTTAAAAGTAATAACTTCCTATCTAATTAACAAGAAAAGATATATTACATATACAAATATCTATATAAAATTAATTCAACTGTTATTTATCATTAAATCTGGACCATATAGCAACATAAAATGTCATCTTCTCATTTTAGAATACAGAAACTTTTCAAAATCATGACTTACTATTCTATCTTTCTGGATATGTTTACAATTTATCACATTCATACTGCTTTAGTTATACAATTTTATTTTATTTTAAAAGGTGTCCTTCTCTCCTGTAGATTTCCCTTCCACCAGATATAAGAGACAAATCCTGTTGTTTAATATTTAAACATTTTTATAAGCATCATTCTTCAAATATGTATTTAGGGTCTAAGGCAGAATGGGAGATCTATCTGAGCTTAGGATAATCTAGTTGGTTTGATTTTATAAGGCTTTGTTTATAATGCTATTTGCCCTAAGAAGCAAAGAACTGTGCTGGCTCTCCCAAGGAAGTTTTATGATTGGCTTAGCACATATGGTACATTTTGAGCACTCAAGTAGAAGAACATGTGGCAACTTAATTGTTTATTAAACTATTAGCAAAAATAATCTTGCTAAGAGAAAAACCATGAAGGGAAAGAAGGGGGAGATCAATTTCCTGAGAAAGTACAAGAGATTCCTTACTTCCAATCCACTCTCCTTTCCATGTTTTCCTTTAATTGGGTGAATTGAATTTTTGAACTGAAATACTCTTATACAGATAAGAGTATTTGTGAATCTGTGCCTTTTGAACATGAAGAAGTTGAAATTATAATAATGAGAAACTGCAACATTGATGGGAGAGGTGGTAGATGCTCTAAAGCCCACGTGTTGAGTTTTCAATACTTGCAGCAGACTATACTCACCAGTAAAGAATCTTTTATCACATATGCCATCTCTTGCATTGACTTTGTTTGACTGGATATTAATTGTTCAATATTTCGTAGTACTGCCTTCTCCAGACTAGGAAGGTGACGAAGCCATAATTGCAGGACAGCAGTTTCAGATAATGAGATATTTTTCCTGTATTAAAAAAGGAGTTGAGATTTCTGTATACATTTCACTAATGTGTTGTGCAATTCTTCCCTTTCTTCTTATTTTTATATCCGTGTCCAAAGAGAAGTGTTCTTTTAGTGTCCTTTGCTACAAATGATATTTTTGAACTACATTCCAAATTGGGAGGAATGATATGGTGCTTTTGAATAAAATTTATATAGCCATTGGACTACACATCATCCTATTTTAAAATATCAATCTTTAAGAAAACAATGGCACAGTTTACTTCGCAGCATTTCAAAACAAAGATGAAATTCATAGCAAAGAGCTAAGCAATTAATATAATGGAAACTTTGCTTGGTAAGAAAATCAAAGTATGGCTAGAAACAAGTCCTCTGCATTTTTTTCTTACTATGGAACGAAAGATGTATCAGTGGTCTAAAAGCTAACCATTCTTTCTCCACAGAATTAACATCATACGATTAAAACTTGAGTGACTACTGCAAAATTCTGTTTTTTTTCCCCCCCATGAGCTATTCCTGCTCATTATCCGACAAAGTCTCCTTTGTTTTCCCTTCCTCTTTCATTACTATTAACTAGTTTATTTCTATATATTTAGGGTTTTGATTTCCTCCCATTTAGCATGGTATCTTACTGGCTCAAGGTTGACTCAGCCTTTCATCCTTCCGAAGTCAGTAAAATGAGTACCCATATTATTGGGGGCAATATGCTGACTCTATAAACCGCTTAGAGAGGGCTGTGAAGCACTTTGAAGTGGTATATAAATCTAAGTGCTATTGCTATATGATCTACTGTGTGCATGCTACACTTTGCAAAAGATGTATGTACGTATGCATGTATGTACGCATGTATGTATGTATATAATCATGCTGCAGTAATCCTTTTCAAGGTATGAAACGTTATACAAAGCACACATTTGGATACTCAGTCAACAAGGCATCAGCTGCATAAAAAAGTACAGGTATTATGTCACCAAGCAACACACTAACATCATCCCAAATATTTTTATCCACAATTATATATATTTTGCAACCTTTCTTGCTACAGTTAAGGGAACCACTGCAGTTAGTTCTTGAGTTACAACCACTGATTTAGTGATTCTTCGAAATTGCAATGGCATTGAAAAAAGTGATTGATAAACTTTTTTTCCACACAACCATTGCAACATCCCCATGGTCACGTGATCAAAATTCAGATGCTTGGCAACTGACTCATATTTATGATGGCAGTCACAAATTGGGGCAAAACTCACTTAACAAGTCTCGTTTAGCAACAGAAACTGAGGACTCAATTGTGGTTGTTAGTCAATGATTACTTATAATATGGTTGTTAAATGAATCTGGCTTCCCCATTGACTTTGTTGGTAGGCATTCCCATTAGAGATTCTATCCTTTTCTTCCAGTAACTCCCCCATTAACCAAAGAGATAAGCAGTGGAAGAGAAACTAATCATTTTAGAGCAGTAGTAAATAATCATAGAGTCCTCCAAATATATTTGATAATTGCTTCCATCATCCCCAGGCAGTGGAGCCACTGATCATACTGGCCGGTGATAATAATGCTACATTTAGTTTATCACGCTGGAATATCCTAGATTGAAGAAGACTTCCCTGAAAACATAGGTGTGCAAAACAATAACTAACTCTGAACAAAATACAAAATAAAATGTGAATTTGCTATTTATTGTAGGTGATATAGATTTCTACTTTTTCCCGGAAAAAGAAAATACATGCAGAATGTTATATCAGTGGCCAAAAGGCACTTATCTCTTCTGAATATATGAATAAGACTTTACAAAAAACATCACAGCAGTGGCAAACAAGTTATTTTACAAATAAAATACATTCTTTTTCAATTTACCAAATGAAATCCATCTGTAGAAACAGATTTCCGACATTTGCATCAATTATGCAGAACGCACAAAAACTCATAAAATGAGAGAATAATCAAGATAATTTATGAAAACAATAAGCAAAACCCATGTCTGAGAACTTGTCCATAAACTATTAATAGATCACAATAAATTCTTAGTCCAAGCACAGATATATAACATTAATTTTCAACAGATCGGGTTATTGAATTAGCATTCTTGTTACCAGACAAGAAAATCTTCTTATTTGGAGTCTACTTACTGCAATATAGCCTCATTCACTGCTTCTAAAAACTGAGAGTGAAGCACTTCTTCTGGTCCATGATCATGATAGTTAAGGAGAGTTTCAAGAAGTGGTTTTATACCAGGCAGAGTTATAAGAGGTACGCAGAGAAGAGACATGGAGGTTACTCGACAAGAGATGCTGTAGAAACAAAACTATACCTCTTACATAGATGAAGAAACATTTTAACTGCCCAGTCACTGCGAGTTTGGGCAGTACATAAACGTTTTTTTAAAAAAATAGTTTAATTGTTCATTAAATACACATTGTCAAGAAGTTCTGTTCACAAAGCGGCACACTTACAGCACACAACAAGTTCCTGTGTACTACGCTCTTCACAAGACTGCCGGATTTTGTGTGGCAGTGTGCAAATCAAGCAGATTAACTAAGAGCAAATGAACTTAATTTAACCTTAGACTGTCTACTATTGACCTTTCCTAAGAGGTCTGTAGGGGGTGTGCATAAGCGCACCAATGTGCCTACCGTCCCTGTCCTATTGTTTCTTTTATTTTTCTTATATGTACCCATTTCATGTATTCATAACTATGTTCATAACTATGTTCATATATTCATAACTTATACTTATTATCTTGTAAGCAATTGACAAATCAAATAAATAAATAAAAAATAAAATAAATAAACCTGCCTAAGAGCCAGTTTTGGCTCAGGCTCAGCATTAACCATTAGTTACTTGTTAACTTTTTTTTTTATGCTTTGGTGTACTCATGCCATGTCAGCTCTTGTATTATATTTTCAGGTTTGACAAGGGTCTGTATGAGAAATTTATAATCCTGAAATCCCTTTTGGATAATTTTATTGTTTTATCTATCAGTATGTTTGTATTTGAACTTAATGTTGCTATTTTAAAGTCCATATTAATAGGATTGCTCATTTTAATCTCTTTTCTGTTTTGTCATATATGCATAGCCTGAGCAAGCATCCTAGCATTTTTATGATTTAATACTGTCTTTTAGACAAAAGTGTTTGTTTATATACACCTTTTCTATTTAGCTTGATAGTGTTAATTTAGTTTTCGATATTTGAAACACTTAGGCTGGTTCATGACTGCAATAAAGTGATTTAGTAGTCAACTCTAAACTTCAATCTTTTCCTGCTAGTGGAAGGCTGACCTAACTAGAAATGTAGTAATAAGGAAAAATAAGAATTTTACACCAATATACCTTGGAGCCATTATGTCATGGTGTTTCTATATGGCAACCATGGCAGCCTAAGTCTTCAAGCTTCCTCCCACTCCTCAAATCACTTTTGATCAGTTGCTGAAAACTGCCATTTTGAAGTGGGAAAACACAATGTTGTTTAATATTAATATTATTTTAAAAATAAGTATTTTAACACTAATATCTGTGAAGAGGAAGAATTAAGATAGCAGTCAATGCTTACGGAAAAGGGCTAGGGCTTCAACCAATGGACTGTACTTACCATCTTTATTATTTTTGCTCCCATGGATGCCTTTGCTGTCAAAAAAACTATTGAAATTCTCCAAAATTTGGTCATATGCTGGTCATTTGTACTATAGCGCCACCAACTCTAAAAACATTAAGTATGGGTCCTGGTCATGCCATCATAGGCACTACTACTACATTAAAAAAAGATCAAGGCAGGCAACCCATCTGAAACTGGGAGATAAAGGAAAAGTCCAAAGGATGACAAAGCTATACCTGCCTTTTCAATGGTAAAATTGGCAAAAAAACTAGAACCACAAAAAAGTTTGAGGATTTTCTTTCAGCTGTTTTTACATTATTTGCAACACAGATCATTTCTATAAGTAATGTGTTCCTCAATAACACCATGCTTATGCATAGTTTGGAATATGTCCATGCAATGTTCATAAGTTTCAGTCTTAAATATCTTTCCATAGAACTTTATTCACACTAGTTACTTAGTTCTACTAATATTAATACCTACTTTTGTTGACTGTTAAATCCATTAACCTGGGTTCCGTGGAGTTCCGCCACTAATGATGAGACTATCTGTTAAATAAATGTAATTATCAACTTAAAATAATATAGAAAATGATCCAGTAATGATTACATCAGTGATATTTTCTCTCTGTTGAATTTGCACTTCCAGGTGAATGGACAATCTATTTGTTGAGACCCATGGACTGAAAGATGTGAAAATAATTTCTCCAAACTTATTTTATGTCAAAGAAACAATTCAAAATATGCAAGCTTCCATAAATTTAACCCAATTAAACTAAACCAATGGTTAGGAACAAAGTTTGATTGAAAAGGCAGACTGAAATATTCCAAGTGTTTAAACATACTTTACTTACTGTTATGTAACTAGAGAAAAATAGCTTTTTCTTCTAAGAATGAAAGCTACCTTTTATTTTCTCTGTTTAAACTCTAGTTATAACAGTGTCCTATGAAGATACCCATTCCAAATTTTTATCTTTAGTCCTAAATGCAATATTTACATCTAATTTCATTATTACTAACTATTATGTCTATTAATTATGTAATAATACAGTATATTTGCTTTGATGGGCTACATCAATCTTCAGTATTTACATATTTAATTGGTTCACCAGAAAGCAAGCATAATAAAAAGCTAACTATATATAGAAAATAGGGAAATTGTGCATGGTTTAAAACTACGTTAAATCCAATTTGGTTTTCATTCTGGTTCCACTGCTTTGTCTTGGCCTTTCTCATTTTGGCTACAGAAATTATCCTTTAGGCAAGAAAAACTGGAGTGGAAATAAAAAACTTGTCCTACAATCATTCCCATTATATTCTTTACAAAGAGACAGCTATTATCAAATATATTTAGCAAACCAGTTCTTTGTTAGATAGAAACTGCTGGCTGATCTTTTATGCTGTAAGTTAAAGCAGCCACATTCCTCCATTTCATAAACTGGTAGGAATTAGTACTTTATGTTGTTCATGAGAATTAATAGCAACTGCCAATACTGTAGATGCCTGACAACTTGGAGGAAGATGGTAGCTCCTCTCGGAATGTGTCGAAATCAGGGGTAAATGAAGATTCACTTTGCCAAATTATACAAAATACTTACATTTTCAATGAGTTTAGAGTAGTAATCTACTGATGTGAAGCCAAGAGTTGAAATAAACTTATTAATATCAGTATGATGATTTCCCATTCCACAAATGGACAGCAGATGGCACAATGACTTCTAGAGGGAACATGTCAACAGAGGAAATAATTAAAACAGATATATTACACCAAGTTAATTTTATCTTATTTGAAAATGTGGAAAGGATACGTCCTGTTATAGTAACAATAATGGGACCTCTATATCTCAAATATAAAAAGACATGTTTGACTTAATAGAAAACAGAAATCTACTGAAAGAAATCAGCCTAAATATCCATATATTCAGTAATAAATTGCCTGATTTGAATTGATTCAGTGATTCAGACTAATATACTCTTTTGCCACAAAGAATAAAAGTAGAGAAAATGTTTTTAAAAGATACTGTACAAAAGAAAATCATTAATAAAAATGGAAAATAGCAACATCCAACTCTTGCTTATTCTGATTTTTTGTGTGGAATATTAGTTTGTCAGGTTAGATATGGTACTTCATAGATGTACTTGACAATTATAAAGTATATATTTTCTACAGAATAGTTGTTTTACTGCCATCTAGCGGTATACATGTAAAAACTACAACAATTTTTAAATGTTTGAATAGCAACAAAAAGTTAAATAGCAATGTACAACTCTGATAAATAGATAAAATCAATTAAATAATCTGTTAATTCTACAGCAAAATATCCAGTATGGAAAAATTGTGTTTATTTATGTGAAATATAAATAATATAAATAAGGCACACATGGAACACTTACTTTCCCAATGAAGTGGTATCTATTTATCTACTTGCATTTTAATGTTTTCAGACTGCTAGGTTCACAGCTGGGGCAAGACTCACCCATCACATGGTATAGGTGGAATGCTGGAGGTAACATCACTCCTTTGCTTAATTTCACATACATGTACAGGTAGTCCTGCAACTACAACCAGGATTGCCATCTCTAAGCAATGTGGTCATAAAGGTGATATCATGTGACTGTATTGCTTAGCGATGGCAAACCCAGCTATCCTAGCTGCCATACTATTAAGCAGGAAGATGTGGGAGTCTCAGGTAGGGAATGCAGGAATTATGTGTGAGCCTGCTGCAGGAGAAGCATTAGGAAGTGTAGCCGTTGCTGGGGACCATTGGTAGGCTGGCTGGCATAGGTCATGGGCAGGCAAGCCAACATAGGTTGCAAGTGGGCCAATGGGGGCTGTAGGTGGGTGCACATTATGGTTTATGGCTGGTCATAGGACATTTGCTAAGGAATACAAGATCCCTGGGATTCCATACTCTGTAGTGTGGCTGCTTGGGGGGAAAAGTGGCAGAAAGAATTTACAGGAGCATTTTTTAATTTTTCCTGCTGGCTTCCTGATTGACTTTTCGTGTGAGAAGCTGACTGGAAAGATCCCCCTCATTCAGTGTCATCATAATTTTAAATAATTAATGAATGAGTGGTAATGAATTGAGGACTACCTGCACATAGTTGGACTGAACACTGTTTTTCTTTGCTACTTCGGTGAATGTATACATAATGTTGGTTTCTGCTGAGAGTTAATGCTTATGTATGCTTGCACATGCATTCTTTTCATCGTATAGCTTGTGTCCTTGTAGATGATGTCTTCATCTTCAAAGACACCAGCTACACAATCAACAGAATAAAAGAGAATGTAGAGTGCACATGGACACAAATTTAGTAAGACATCATCAAAGTAATTCAATTATTATTATTACCCTTTCCACAAAAACATCTGCATTGATAGCTTGCTCTGATCTGGTCAGTTCTCCTGTGATTTGTAACTTTGGAGTGCATTTCAGAAACAAAGAATAACTCTGGTTAATTGGCTCTTAGAGTTTTTTATGTTGCTGTATCATTTATTCATAACTGCACTCTGTGCCCTGCAACTCTTGTGCCTTCTTGCTTATGGAGATTTCATAGCTCATTAAAATTCACACATACACAAAATGCTTTATGCTATTAAATATGTGTGCGCATGCATACTGTTTATGCTTTTGTGAACCGTTGATGCAGTCCATGGTGCATTTAGCTTCAAAGGCACGTTTGAAGTAGTTGGTTTGACTTGTTTCCTATGGTTCTTTTATCCCTGTAGCATTTCAAGCGTAAAAAGAAGTTGTTTTGCTGAGCAAGGGCGTGTCTGTGATCCATAAATACTCTTGTTGTGTGTGCTGCTACATCTTTAGATGTAAATCTTGCATTTCCCAGGGTGGGGTCTCTCTCAGCAGCAGCTTTTCTTCTTTTTTTACTTTCTTTCAAGTTGAAAGTGTTTTTATTATTATTATTAATCTTGACAGCAAGTCAGAAATGGAAAAAATCTGCAGGTAATCCTTCGAATGCTCCCATGGAGGGAGATACCCACGATCCTGTCTGTCTGCAATGGTATGTGTAGTTACAAAAAGCATAACTTTTTTTACCAGATTGCCTGAAATTCATTTAACATTTCTGAACAGAATGTACAGAATGCAACAGATGTTGCATGACTGCGTGGATGTTCCATCTATTGTTCTGGCACTGTCCTTCATCTACACAATAAGAAGGCTCCTCCTGCTAAAGCAGCAGATAGAGGGCATGAGCAGGAGAGCTTTCAGCCAATCAAATAACTGCATCCTATCCTGGATCAAAAGGTGTGGAAGTAAGTCACTCACTTCATTGTCATCTTTTGATTAGCCTATATGCAGCCCTTGCTTAACAAGTGCTCCGTTTTGTGACCATTCAAAGATTCAGTGACGCTAACAAAGTAACCTTAGTACTTTTCTGTATTGCTTTTCTTCTGTGGTCAGTTTTTTTTTTTTAGAGGGGTTTGTTCTGAATCCTATTTAGATTTCTGATAAGAGGCTTGTTTTGAATTCCACTGTTTCCCACAATCCAAATATCTGAAACAATTTAAGATTTTCTGCCAAGGAAACAACAGTAAATTATGTTCAGTTTTTGTGTCCATTATACTACAATTGGACTGAAAAGTTTAAAAAAACCTTTATATATATGAAAGATCTGTGAAAGTAGGGCTGTGTTTGATGCTGAACAACTAAGATTAATGGATTTTGTCATTCATCTGCTTTTTCTCTTCTCTTCCTTCTCTTATTTTTTTCTTCCTTAGTGTTCTTTCTCCCATACTTAAGAGGCAAAACCATGGTGTAGGTTTTTTAATTTAAGCAGTGATTTGTGGAGGGGATTGACATGATGGCTTCCTGCCCATGACAATTTCACACTCAGGTTTGCAGTTTGGATGTTGTTTAAAGTTTTTGAAGCCAGACATTCAGTCAAAGTGACCTCATGAGCAGTTATTTAGATTCTTGAGAGATAAGGCTTCCATGTGATTAGATTTGGTTCCATTCCAATCCTCTTAATTTCAGGATTTTTGTTTTTTGTTATGTTTTGTACAACATGGACAAGAAATATTCAAGGATTCAGGAACAAAAACAGGCAAGCCTGTTGAGGTGTTCCCCGTTAGAATGAGTGCACTCAGGGAAACGTAGTGAGAGTGGTGAGGAATAACACACAACCAGCATACAGATACACTGAATAGTAAAATGTAGGTTTTACTTCCTGTAAACGGGTAAACAAAGTCCAACAAACAGTCCAAATCATACACGGTTAAAGCAGGTAGCATTCAATACAATCAGTCCAGGGATAATCCAAAAATGAAGTCCGGTATCATAAACAAAGTTCAATAAACAGAGTTTGCTAACTGTTTGCAAGACTCACAGCAATTCTAGCAGAATGACGAACAGGCAAAAGGCAATAGGGAAATGCAAGAAGAGAACAAACCAGGTTTCTAGCTCCATCTTATGGCCGTCGGAGGAACCTCAGCCAATCACAATTACAGCATTCTCTTAAAGATACAACAGTATTAAATAACTATCCTGATTTATATATTGCCAACCCAACTGTTAGGTGACTATCATTCCTAACAAAGCCTATCAACACAAATACTCTCAGCTGCTGCTCAGTACTAGCCACCAGATGTTATCTATTTATTCATTCTATTTTATAGATTTATAGCCCATATTTCTTCATGGAGCTCAGGGTAGCATATACTTCCAGGAATGTTAGAATGATTGTTTTCTAGACTAATTAAATGAAGCTTCAGAGTAAAACCAAAACAAGTTCCTTAATATTTATATCAGAGACTGCTTTTCTTGTTCGATTCATTGCACTGTAAAATTTAAAGTAATAAGATTTTAAACATTAAGAGAAAATATGAACCGTTCTATAGCTCTTACTAAAAAATAATCTGCTAATGTTGCAAGGGCAAAAGTCGTTACTTATTAAAAAAAAAAAATTTCCCTCCTTCATGACTAAGTTAACTGAGGAAAATGTTAACTGACAGTAGATGGTTTATTTCAAAAAAACTCATTTCCTTCTCGAAGTCTATCTTGTACAAAAGCTACTGGCAAAATTGAGGAGCCTAAATAAGTTAAAGGGAAACACCCTTTAAAAAAAAAACCTTAGGAGATTTTGGGAACTTTGTCTACGTCTATACTATTGCAATCTGTAGTCAAAAAAGCACTGACAATTCTCTGCATACTGTGACCACTCATATTATGGGAAACTCTATGATTAAAATGAACCTGGCATTCCAATATTGAATAGTGTAGTCTGCTCCATGTTGTCATTATTATATTTGTACTTCACTTTTAATCACTTTCATGGGTTGCAGCTATTCAATCTACACTGTCCAACCTGGAAAGAACTGAACATTCTTATTTTAAGTGTGTGATTTGTATGTATGCTTCCACATTTTGCTACAGAACTAGAAACTCTACATTTAATTTCTTATAAAAACAAAACAAGATCCAAACGTTATGCGAAACAGTATTTATAAAAAATGTATTTAAAAACAGTAAAATAGTGGCTTCAAACCAAATAAGATATATACTGAAGGAAAATGGGATCGGGAGGGAACACGGGTAGAAGAAAATCCAGCACTTAAATTTTATAGTTACATAAACATTTATTGACCAGCTGGAATGACTACTAAAAGACAAAGTTCTTAGAAAGGCAAAACCAAATGATAGGCACTTCCAGATGAGTGTGGGAATGATTGCTAACAAATTAAAAAATGGCTTTTATTTCAAGA